GCAGCTGTGGCACCCCGAGCCTCGGGCCAGGCCTGCACGCGGCGTCACCGGTCCCTGCGTGGAGACGCAGCAAGGCATGGATGCAGCGGGGTGGGAAGGGCCTGGAGGCCTAGTCCAGGCTGGGCCTGAGGCAGGATCGTCCCCCTGCAGCCCATCCTCTAGAGCAGCGGTTCCCAACCTGTGGTACGCATTAACAGATTTATCGTAATGATTTTCTATGACAGGAACTTGCTGGTGATACTTAAGGTTGTATTGTTTTTTGCTGGTGCTCAATCTGTCAGTTTGGGAACCTCTGATCTAGACTCCGAACCCCGACACAGCACAGACCTCACACCCCGATGGGCCGCAGGGGGAGCCACAGCAAAAACAATGCCTGGAAGAAGAGACCAAAGCCGGCAAAATGCATCCCTTATGTTGCAATCACTTAGTGAAATGCCTTTCTTCGTGGCTTTCTCTTTATGACCCAATCCTACAAGCCATTGATTGCACGAAGAAAGCTTGTACCCTTAGGAGTTCAATCCCGCAGGAAGATCCACTGGTGTAAAGCTGGTGCCTGCACAAGATCCCGTGGAGGTACTTCCGGAAGTCGGTTCCCATGCAGGAACGGGGGCCTCGGATGCTGCCTTCTCTGAATTGGGCTTGAAAAGCGCCGTGTGTCTAGAAGGAAGTTTTGCAAGACGATGACAGTCTCTTGGAGTTTTCCAGGCCTACTGCCTGCACCGGGAAAAGAAGTTACTTGTTTCTATAATACTGCGTACTTGTAAGCCACAGTTTTTTCCAGCGAACTGTTTCATTCACTCATAAAATAACGGAAAATGAAAATCCGGCTTTCATTAGGAATGCTTCTGGGTAATCCATCAGAAATTAAGGCAATCTTCAATCTGAATTTGTAGATTAAAACCAATGGAACCCCTTTGTCAAGCTAAACAATAACAACTCCAACCTCCAAAACATAGAGCTGAATAGTAGTAGCACTCTGCTATTCACCAGTTCCGTGGAATTCCTCTGTGTAAAGTGGCCATCACATGTGCAGAAAAAATATTTGCTCCTAAATGTGGGTGGAAGGAGGAGGATGGGTGTGGAGGCAAGGTGCTTTCCCCTCCCCATACCAAGGGATTAAGATTGAAGCAGTTTACACCTAGACAGGGATGCCAGGTACAAACTACTAAATTTCTTAAGAACGCTATTGTCTTAGTCTTCTGAAAACACAAACTCCTCAATCACTGAAAAAGGCACAATGCTTTAAAAAAGTCAGTAGGTTTCTGCTGCAGTCTGTTCTGCTTCAGTTCTTTGCACCACCACCGTGGGACTGTTCTGTTCCACAATTCCTTTAAGGCATTTTCCCCCAAACATGCTGCGTCCCATGTGAAGAGCTGCAAAGGAAAAAACATACCACTCCAATTACCCTGCATTCAATGTGTTTTCTTGTCAGTAGGCTTAAAATGGGTTAAGTGTGTCTGCATTTAAATATACACAGAACACACTGAGGTGTGTTGTTTTCCCTATTGGAGTAATGTGAAGGTGCTTCCTATTTGCAAGGTAATGGTCATCGCTTGAGCTAAAAATACAGAGGTCAAAGTGTTTACAAAAAGGATGGGTTGGTGAATAGCATGCTAGAATGGGACTTAGGAGACCTCTGCAAAACATTTCAAGAGCTACTGAGGAAAAGTGCCATAAAAGAGCTAGGGGTTATTAAGTTCAGGCTGAAGATGGAGGTATTTATTCATGAAACTAGTTAATCAACTTGGAAACAAGTGTCCAATTTATCACAACATTAATAGAGACAGAAAAGCTACACATGAGTATTGTCAGATTACTACTGAAAGCTCCATTATTTTAAAATGAGTTAAAACCATGTAGCTCTGCTTTCCTATCACACTGTAAACCTTGCCTCATTCTCTCATTTCTTCCTTCTTTATACCTTTTCACTCATTCCCCCTAAAAATTATCAAGTTTCTTGACTGTGAAATAATATTTTTGTTTTATAATAATTCATGTGCTGGTGGTAGTTGTGATGCATTTCATTTTTCATAACAATTTTTCACCACACCTGCACTAAACCCACTAACCCATCTGTCAGGACTACTGATACTCCACACATTTGTGCAGCTTTCATGTAGCCACGGTTTAAAAACAAACAAACCATTCAGCTGAAAACTATTTCTTCATGCTGCCCCTGAACATGAATTTTCCCACAAAGTTACACTGGTCTGAGGCCCAAGATAGACAATACTTGCATCAGCAACAGGATTAGTCTCCAGTCTCTCAGGAACTACTGGCCCAGAAGAGAATGCCATTTAGGAGTGAAGTATTTGGGAATCCTTTCATCCTAGCCCAATATCACACTTATATCTACGCTTAGGGCATGTCTATACATGGTCCTATGGCAATGTAGCAACACATGACAACCTAGCAATCACGTGGGTCTACCAGCTATGTCACCATAGGAGTGCACTCCTCAGTCATAGTGCACCGCTACAGTGACATAGCAGTGAAATCTAACCATCCACCATGCATACAGCATAGTAACCACCCATACTGCACCATGCTGTAGTACTTCCAGAAGATCCTTACCTTGCGCACAACTTAGTAACTGCTACTTTCAGCCACTTTCAAAAAGTCATGTTAATAACACGTTTTGGTTCTTGTTTTGCTAGAGATTGTGCTACATCTACCATTGGCTACAAGGGAAGTCAGATTGTACCCAATCCTGAAAAAAAATCCAGGGATTATTATGGGAGTAAAAACTTTGCTGATGTCTGGGCAGAGGAAATCAAGTGGCGGTTTAATTTTAATCATTTTCTGTTCAGTTTATCGTGATAAACTTCAAAAATGGGATCTTCTAATCTGTCTGTACTTGAGTATTACCACTGCTTTCACAGAACAGAATCAGGGCAGTAGATTACAGACTGGTACAAGGAATAGAATTGTAGAGCTGACCGGAGTGCAAGGGGGCATGATGCATAACTGGACACTGGATCTAAGAGGGAAATAATTTTCCTATCTTACAGATTTCATAGACATTAGGGCTGGAAGGGACCTCGGAAGATCATCGAGTCCAGCCCTCTGCCCCAAAGGCAGGAAGTCAGCAGGGGTCATAGGATCCCAGCAAGCTAAACATCCAAATTTCTCTTGAAGGTGTTCAGAGTAGGTGCTTGAACCATCTCCAGCGGCAATCTATTCCAGGCCTTGGGGGCTTGGACTGTAAAGAAGTTCTTCCTTATGTCCAGCCTGAAACGGTCCTGAAGGAGTTTGTGACCGTTTGACCTTGTCATCCCCTGGGGTGCTCTGGTGAACAGACATTCCCCCAGATCCTGGTGACCACCCTTAATGAACTTATAGGCAGCCACCAGATCACCCCTGAGCCTGCACTTTTCCAGGCTGAAGAGTCCCATGGCTCTCAGCCTCTCATCATAAGGTCTGTTTTCCTGACTTCTGATCATGCGCGTGGCTCTCCTCTGCACTCTCTCAAGCTTCTCCACATTCTTTTTGAATTGTGAACCCCAAAACTGGACACAGTACTCCAGCTGTGGCCTCACCAAGGCCAAGTACAATGGGAGAATGACGTCCTGGGATTTGCTTGAGAAGCATCTATGGATGCAAGCCAGCATTTTGCTCGCTTTAATAGCTGCA